TAGGGCACAGGCGCATGCAGGATCGTAAACATCAATGCCAGGCCAGCCTCAATAAAACTGTCAGAGGTTATTGCAGATGGTGTCATGGGTATATGTAGGTGAATCAATCTGGCCAATGTCTAGTGTTGAGAAGTGGTCCACATTCACAACAATCATGGCAGGACACTCATGGCGCACATGTTTGTGTGCACAGCATTCTCAAGTCATTGTTCGAGCCAACAGACAGAGTGGAGAAGGCAACACTGGTGCTGTTGCTGCATGAAAGTAATCCTGTGTGATTCGAGAAAGTCTTAACCTGCGAGGAAAACAGCATTGCATCAGAAGCAGGTTGGGGACCTGGTGGAGTCCATTCGAGATACTCAACCTGACAGATTGGAGCAGCAGATGTGGGAGCACTTGAGACATCACAAGTCCAGAAGGATGTGGGAATGCATGCCATGTTATGGCACCATGAGCATCCGTCGGCTATGTTGTTCATAACAAAAAGGACAATGAACGCTGACGTCAGCCTGCAGGAAACAGTTGGAGAGACCGATTAAGTAGGAACATAGAAGGTCCTGGCAGCATTGAAAGATAGCACAGCTATTTCAGTCAGACTTACAGGGAAAGAAATACAGCAGCAGCAGCCATACGGATTCTTTGCTGCCATGCTGTGTACTTCATCGTCACAGGAACGCCTCGTCCCTCGCCCATCAACGTATCAATGGCAGCAGGCGTTGCTCTCAGCAGGCCAACAAAGCTGGGCTTTGGCCGGATCAACAGAGCAAACCCAAGGAAAATTCCTGAGAGGAGCCCGCCAATGCAGGTGAAGATGTCGATATAAGGCATCAGTCCAATGGCGAGATTGACAAGTCCCAAGAGTGTCAGGACTGCAAGTGCTTGCCAATGGTTGTGGTAAAAGTTGAAATTGACAATGACGTCAGAAAAGGTAGCTCCGATGAGACCAAAAAGGGGGCCTGATACTCCAGCGGATATATTGTCTCCAAGAAACATGGCTGAAAACACAGCACTGGCGATTCCGGAAAAGAGAAACACGACCAAGGGACGCCCTGCGATCGAGAGACACATCAGAAAACATAATCGAGAACACGCAACTGGTAGCAGATATCTGCAGCCGCACACGTGTCTTGAAAAGGCAGGCAGCCTACTGACACATGGTCCAAATTCCTGCTCCAACCTGACGAAGACAACAGTGAGGGAGATGAGGTTACAGATGACATGGACTGTGCCAGCATGCAACCACATGGTCGTCAGAAGCCTCCATCCCTGGCGGTGGTTCCGCACCAGGTCCGCATTAAGGGCTCCCATGTTAAGAAAACTGTCCAGGCGTTGATAATTGCATACGACAAATGACGAAATTTAAATACAAGACGAGGCTATTCTTTTACCTTACCGTTCCGTCCACTCACGTGCGTGCAGACGGCCCAAAGAGGGGATTTGCTCTCAGCGGCTCAAAAGAGAATCGGTGTAGAAACCTCCATACGCAGGTCTGGCCATCAGGGTGAGCATGGCGGGGACAGTTATTGACACCCATGGTAACCAGGAACACAATGAGGAGACATGTCACCAGAACGGGAGTCATCCAAGGAAATTTCAGCGGCGGTTTTTCACTTGACGTTTCTTTCAGGGTCTCGATACGCTCCAATGTTGATACTGAGTTCCCAGAAGATGAAACTGGAGGTGCGGTTGCAGTAGAAGTTGAGCTAACGGTTCTCGTTGGTGACATTGCAGGAGAATCAGCCGTTCGAAATCTGCTACTCGTGAACACCGTCGCATCTTCTCGCGATCTGGTCATACGTGGAGTCTCGGCTTGAGACAATCCGGATGCAGAAGGCGAAAACGGCGGACGAGGCGGAGGAGCGAGAGGAAACTGCCATAAGGAGCTTCCAGATGACAGCGACCGATTATGACCCGAATCATGATCAGAATTCGTTCGGGAGTTGCTCAGATTACCGGACAGGCCAGGATAATCGGAAAAGCCAGGCGCCAGATGGCTCGGGAAAGGGCTTCTTCTTGGAGAGAAACGACCGTAAGGAGAAGCTGCTGAGGATGGTGGTAACGGAGAAGCATCGTTGACGAAGACGTGCGAACTCGACGCGGACGATGCAGTAGCAGACGACCATCGCGGAGCCGAAGCTTGGCGTTGCGTGAAGGCATTGTCATTATCGGATTCGTCGATTGGCATGCCATAAGGTCGCTGCATGATTTCAGCGAGGCCCTGAGTCCTACTATTGCGATGTTACCTCAGCATCGATCCCTAGTATTGATCAGCAGGATTACCAACGCAGAACGGATGAATGCGCGTGAGGTCCGCTAGCATGGATTCCGCATTGCATCAACACTCTCATGAGCACCTGAAATGGATGTTGCGAGCTGAATCTGATGTTGGCCAACTGAAGGTGATGGACCTTCCAATATGGAGCGGGTGGTTCATCGACCTCACCACCGCGCGGGAGTCCTCCCAAAGTACCTAATACTAAATATTACCGCTTTGTAACGCGAAACATCGTTCAGCCACTCAGCCGAGCTCTCAATGACTGCAGCTTTAGGGTGCGTTTCTATCCCGTGTCAGACATCAGGTCAAAGCTTCGGAAGACACAAAGTGACTCGGTTTGTGTCTTCCGAACCTAATTTTGCCAGCATTCCAAGTCCCTTCGGGTCTTCCCAACCTCAACTTCGTGTCTGGCTTCGTGTCTGACACGGGATAGAAACGCACCCTTAGTATTCAAGCAAAACATACCTTTTTTGGCTTGCGTAGCAACCTTATACATTTGGTTTCACTTTTTGGGGAAGACCGTGAACAGTGATTTTCCCTGACCTTTTTGGGAAAAGAACACTGTTCAACTGTTTAAGTTCCCCAAAAATGTGAAACCAACTGTACCCAATAATTCCATAGTCGTCGATAAGTACGGCGAATGGAAAAATTGGTTTGACCAAATGACAACACGCCCTAAGACACATACACAAACTATCACACGCGTGAACATATATAAAAACCACATTTGGAAATCGTGCCTGTTTCGAAGAGATTACTAAATGCATCAATGCTGCAACTGAGATTGGTGTGGTGCGGAAAAGGCAAGCAAAGCTGCCCCACCGACGATGACAACCTCAATTGCATACACGGAGGCACCTAGCATTACACCCCCAAACAGACACAACACGTTACACAAACGAAAGCACACAAGCATGTGCAAAAACGAGAACTGTTGTGAATGCATCGAAGCTAATGCTAGAATGCATCGATAATGCAACTGAAATTGATCTGGTATGGAAGAGGCGAGCAAAGCTGCCCCACCAACGATCACAACCCCAGTTGCATTTACGAGGCACTTAGCACCACACCCCGAAACAGACACAGACACTAACACGCGTATACACGTGCACGCACGCACACATACAGGATCACACACACATACACACACAGCACAAAAACATACAGCTAATAAGCATGAAAGCCTAATCAATTAGGTTCAGCCATGTATAAATTATTGCTAGCATGTCCCCCAATCTCCTCCCTCCCTCCCTGGTCTCCTCCCCCTCTCCCCCCCCCCCCCCCTTCCCTTTTCTCTGCAAGAAACAAAGAATGCAGCTTGAACTCCCTGCACAGGAAAGAAAAAACAGCGAATGCAACTCACACTCCCTGCACCAACAAGGACAAAATCAGAGTATAATTCTTGCATGAGCTGCAAAAGACAACAAAATCAGAAAATGCAGCTCTCACAATGCATAAGAAACAAATTAATCGCTAAAGAAATTGCTGATGAAACTAAAGAGTGATTAAACAATCAAACTTGAGTGCATGCAATACCTCGCAGCCACCCTTGCATTCACCCTCACATTCATCCTCACACTCATACTTGCACTCACTCTAGCACTCACTTTCCCACCCACTAATGCCCACACAGTCGCTCTCAGCTTTTATAAGACACACTCACAGAAACACACTCTCAAACCCTGGCACTCAACCTTGCACTTAAGCTCGCGAACATGCTCGCGCTCACTCTCACACTTACACAGAAAATCACACACATGCAATCACACACACCCACTCACCCTCGCCCTCACACTCACCCTTGCACTCACTCTCGCGCTCATACCCGTATTCACCCTCACACTCACACTCGTATTGCTCTCACACCCACCCTCGCAATCATTCTCGCACTCACGCTCGCACTTGCTCACATTGACCCTCTCGTACATACACTCGCACTCACTCTCGCAGACACCCTCAAGTGCATGCGCACGCTCACTCTCACACCTGCTATTGCTCCCGAATTCAAACCCGTACTCACACTCTCGCACACGCTCGCAGTCACTCTCGCAACCACTCACGGACACTCGAATATTTTTTCAACCGTTCTCATACACACTCAAGGAAACACACACAAACCCTCGCACTCACCCCCTGACTCGCGCTCACGCTCACCCGACCACCCACACACGCACGCGCGCACACATTGCGCACACCCTCAAACTGAACTTGCACTATCACACTCGCAATCACGAGCCAACGTCAGCGGCCCTCAGCCTAACGCCGGAGCACCAGGCGCCTGTGCCCAAATCGTCATCGCATTACGTAAACGTGCTACAGCCAAGCATCCTAGGAGCCAACACAATGGCCAACCTTTCACATACCCAAATATTTAGTATTATCTCTTAGCCCTGCCCTATAACTCAACAGAAACCTTCTCTCTCTATCTCTCTCCCCCTCCCCCCCACCCCACTCGACCTCTCGTCATCTCACAATTTCCAACACTCTAACCTTCCTCTCATCGCATTGTGCCGACGATGCTCGCACCCTGCGTTGCTGCTGCCGCCGCCGATAAGAGGAGAGCTCATAGGTTAGACCCCTGGAAGGAAGGGGTGGAACGGGCGGGGGCAGGGAGGGAGGGAGTTGTGAGCATGTGCGCCTCGCATCAGCAAACGCAAGGCATGTGCATACCATGCCTTAATACTTTCCACTAGAATGCGACGGAAAACGCCTAGAGCCAACGAAATTAAAGCCAAGGAGCCAAAGGCGCCAGCGCCAGCGCCCAATGGCGCAAGAACCAGCGCGCAAAGGCGCCAGCGCCCAAAGGCGCAAGAACCAGCGCGCAAAGGCGCCAACGCCAGCGCCCAAAGGCGCCAGCGCCAGCGCCCAAAGGGGCCAGCGCCAGCGCCCAAACGCGCAAGCGCCAGCGCGCAAAGGCGCCAGCGCCAGCGCCAGCGCGCAAAGGCGCCAGCGCCAGCGCCAGCGCCCAAAGGCGCCAGCGCCCACGGCGACCGCGCCCAACGGCGCCAACGCGAATGGTGCCAGCGCCCAACGGCGCCAACGCCTTACGCGCCATGACGCCTAAGGCGCTAGCGCCCTAAGGCCAATGCCCTTGGCGCTTACGCCCTAGGCGCCATAGGCCTAGGTTCCAACGTTTAGGAGAGAGCGCCCTAGGGTGAATGCTCTATGCTATATTGGGCTCTAGGCGCGCGCGGCTTAGGCATTAAGAAGGTAGCAATCGTTAGAACTACCTGAGCTAGTTGACTTCTTGATGACATCGCAAGAGTTGGAAAGGGCATGAGGGAAAGCCTCGAGAGCACTTCGGGAGGAGTGGTTGGGTGGGAGGGCAACGAAACCCTAGCCTACTGTTCACCCAATCCCAACAAAGTCAGCAAAGAAAGATTCTTTAGTGCAATCTGTTCCTAGCGTTATAAGTCCCAATCTGTTGCTAGTGGTTTCATGGTTGACAATTGAATTAAAAACATACATGGCATTCTTATATTGTTATCAATTCGGTATCCACTCTTTGAATATATGTGAGGGACGCTATAAGAGAGTAACACTCTACGCAACCCTTCCGACGTTAAAGCGTCGAGTCTTGTTATTTTCACAGGTATACCAGATACACAACACAAGAGCATGAAAAAATATGAAGCTATTTGCAATGCAACATACATAAGCACAAGTGTAAGTTCTAATTGCAACAGGGTGGCTTACACCCTACAAAAACGCTTAGCAGAACACTCTGCCTTGGAAAACCATTCAGACCTCGATGCCAGGGCATCTCACTTGCAGCCCAGGATTTTGCTCACGAGAATCAACTGCACTCAGCCACCCTTTGTTGGCTCGCCGTACAGGGGAAGGTTGCGGCGATCCCTTCTGTGCTGCAACCCCTTCCGATGTCAGAGCCAAGCCATTATTCACCTTAGTATGTATGGGCTTGCTGACATGGCAGGGAGATGAGCTGCTGTTGCTGACATGGCGGTTGACATGGCGGTCATGGAAAATCATCTGTGTGCTCATCATGCGATCGTGGCCAATGAGACAGAGGCGATCCGGATACACGTCAATCTGGCCGAAGGCTGAGGTTCCTGTCGGGCATTCAAGTGCCTGCCAGAGGTAAGGGGGATTGGGAAGCATGAAAAATGAATTAAAATCAACCAACAGCACAATTTTTTACATCTCCACTTCACCACCAAGCACAGATTTAAAAAAATATAAAATGTATCCGAAAGAGTAGACAGCTCTAAGCACTTCATACCCATGACAACAACCAGAAAGTTTCCACTCACTGCCTCAAGAATCCGGTGGTGAATGCCCTTGTCGTCGCAGGTGTACGCTCCAAAGTGTGCATGGCCAGAAATGGCCGCCACCACACAGTTGTGCTGCTGAATGGTCGCGAGAACCTGATGAGGGACATAAAAGGGGTCGAGCAGATTAGTCAAGCGCGGATAACAAGAGGGTGAGAAATTGAGGAGGCGAAAGGGGGAAAGGGGATGGAGGAGGGGAGATGCCGGGGAGGAAAAGCCACAAAGGATAATTGATACTTCGAAAATCCAGATGAGACTCAGCTGTAGAGGAGCAGCATTCACCTTGTCATAGTTCCAGATGAGGCACGTGGAGGTGGGAAGGGCGTTGGGCTCCACAGGCAGGTGACAGCAGATGATCACCGTCTCCCCACACTCATCGCTCTCCCTCAACACCCCCTCCAGCCACCCCAGCTGCGTCTCACTCACTCCCCCATTGAACTTCAAAAACCGCCGCTGCATCCCCACCATCCCCTCTGGGCTGTTCTTCTCCTCATTCGGATTCTGCCGCCCGAGAATCTCCGCCGCCAGCTCAGCGTGCGGGTGGCCGGACGGCCAGCCGATCATGCTGATGTCGTACGGGTCGAGGACGACGAGACGGAAGCCGGGGAAGGGGGAGAAGTGGTAGTAGGAGCGGTGGTCGGCGGAGGGCGGCATGGCAAGCAGCTTGTTGAGGGTTTTCCGGGGAAGATTGTACAGGCAGTGGTTGCCTGCAGGGGTGGGTGGATACAGGAAATTTCACACATTGAGCAAAGCTGCATTGAGCAATGATGCAACAATGCTGCAAGGAGCAGAAGAAGATAAACGAGATAAATTAGCAATGATACACCTGCCGCGCGGAGCATACCTAGCATGTGGTACACAGGTCCGTTGGTCAACTTGCCGAACTCGCCCAGAACCTGCAATGGAGAGGTTGGCGGGGAGGCGAAGAGATGGAAGCAGGCGGATAGAGCCACAGGCGGAGAAGGGGAAGGGAGAAGGAGAAAGGGAAGGCATTGAGTCGATCTGAGCATGAGATCGGGGAAAGGGAAGCTTGACGAGGCAATGCAGTGGGGAATGGGATGGGAGAGCGGTAAGAGCACGGCGTGCATTAGATGTGGTGCTGAGGCAAGGGAAGCTATGAGGCGTTTCTCCTGGAGATTCGGCGAGTGCTGGAGTATTACCGTTTGAAAGGCCTCGAGCGATTTTTCGCGAGGGCACAGTCCGTCGACGAGGTCGCCGAAATGCACTGCGAAGGAAATGTGGTTCGTCTCGTGGTTCCAGTCGCGAACCGCCCTCTTCACCACTGCCAAATCAGAGTCAGCCAACCGTCGCGTGATGCGTGTCAGAACCATGCTAGAAAAGCTTGTCGGAAAGAATATGCGATGCTCAACTACTTCCGACGGCATTAAAACATCGGAGGACAAAAGCGAGAGCCAGCAGGAAATAATAAAATAAATCCTGCTGCCATCAAGAAAACGGAAAAAGAAGTTTCCCCACCTTCTAAGCTGTGTCGGTAGAATCGAGGGATGCCAAGGAACGAATGTCCGTCGTCGATATCGGCGTACTGCACGTCCGTCATCACGCCGAACGAAAACAGCGGTTTCTTCCCCTCCGCGTCCTCCCTCTGATAAAAATACGACCCGGCCACAGACGGTCCGAGCGCCCTCCGCTCCGCAATCAGCAGCTGCTGAATATTCCACCGATCGCGGCTGGCGCGCCGCATGAGACGCTGCTTGTTCTGGCGCTCCGGGTCGGTGCCGTTCCCGCGGTTCTCCTCGCAGTTCTCGCTTTGAAGATGCCGGATATGGTGGGGGCCATCGTCGTCGGAGCAACTGCTGCTGCTGCTGCCGCCAATCCTGCTGCTGCCGCTGTTCCCGCTGCTGCGGCTGTGCGACGACCCGTCGTCCTCTTGCGACGAGTCGTCGCAGTCGCCGTCGTCAACGGCTGTCGGCGACCATTCCGGCCAATCATCGTCATCGCAGCTCGAGCCATTCTCCGCTGCGGCCTCGAGAAGCTCTTTCTCCCGGAGAGCCGCGGTCTCAGCTTCTTTCGCGCGCTGCTGGAAGAGCGCGAGAAAATCGTTGGTCGGCTCGAGAGCACGAGGCGGACGGGGATTGTACCCGAGCGGAAAAGCCGGGGCGAAAGCCGGAGGTGCGGAGGGCATCCGCGAGGGGAATTCGACTAACGGTGACGACATGTTCTTTGACGGAAATGGCTGACGTAGAGGAATATGTTTCCGTCGCTGAAATAGCTCCTTGTAAGGGCGGAACAATTCAGAACAGGTAATTTTGCTCTTAGTGTGATAACAATGACAAGTGACTGCGGATAAGGATGTTTCTTTGCTCCTCCTTTGATTGTTCGGTCTCTGACCAGTGAATGGCAGAAACGTGTCTCAGTGGGGTCTGAGAAAATGAGGATAAAATTCTTGACGATAAAAACGGATACTCCAAGCGGAATTGTCGGTAGAGAAAGTTACTACCGCAAGATTGAAAGAGAAGTAACCGGAGTATGGTTCAGTCACAACGCCAAGACAGAAGGGAGCAACTGAACTCTGTATAGCCGCTTATGTACAAAGGGGGCTCGGCAACGGTCTACCAAACTCTCTCAATTTCAACGAGCTCCACTGATGTCGTTCAGACGGAAATGTGGGTCACAAACATCACAGTAACTGACGCTGCAACTAAGGAAACTCAACTCAAACCCTATCATTAAGGCGTGTAAAGAAGAAACAAAGATTAGGAGCACGAGGGAATAAGAACAGCGAGAGGACAGGGGGTTTGACGGAAGAGAGGCGATTGGAAGGTGCGCCAACAAAGCAGGACAGCACCAGTGGGAAAAACCCCGCCAGCTAGGGAGCGCGAATGGTGGCCGAGGGAATTTGGTCTTCCAGTCACGCTGGTGTGTCGCATGCGTGGCAACAATGGCGGCGCGTGGTTGCTTTGCCCTTTGCGGGCAGATGCATGCGAGGAGAATGCTGCGGCTCCCAGCCCCTGGGAGTTGACACACTTGAGAGATGTTTCGCACAGGCACGAGCTCAAGCGGGCACGAGTTTCAGCAGGCGCCCTGGAATGTCCCAGGTCTTTTTAAAGCTCCCACTGGTGTGAGAACTTAGTGAGCATGTGTATTATCCTGGAGCGCTTCACACAAAATATTGCGGCATGGGTTTTGCTCGAGTTGCCCCAGAATGAATGTGGCTGACGCCGAAATTTGCTTGCCAACTGAATACAGGTAGGATCCAAGTCAGCATCGCCGCTTTCCGGCCCGCTTTTGGGGCGATCTGCGTGAGAGATGACGTTCGTGTGACTGTGTCCACGTGAAGTCTTGGCAAGCGTGTGATCAAGCTCGGCCATCTCAGCGCAGCGGGATTTCCTCCACAGATCTTGCCGACCAAAATGTCGTACCCAATGAAGTGGACAACTAACACGCATCATATGTTCGCGCGTGCGACAAAATAGGGAGGCAGATTTGCACCAAGTTGACAGCGACAAGTAAAGTACACATACAGTTTTCGTTATCAAAACTTGCACTATGTACATTATGCAATTCAATGAGATAACACATGACAACTTCACCACCCCGTTCTCCTTCCAGGTTGCATCTTCTTCAACTGCTCTTGCAGCATAGACACTTCTTTTTTCAGTGATGTTGCACTCCTAGCCTCGGTCCGAACCCTACTTAATTCTTGCTCCAATGATGTGACTTTCTTGTTGGATGCTTGAAGCTCCTTGCGCACAGTTTCCACATCGACCTTCCCTTGTCTCTCTGCGAGGGATATAGACTGGCACAATAAAGGGTCAAAAGAAGGGGGGGTGGGGGGGGGGGGGGGTGAAAACAAGCAAAGAAATAAAAGGAAAGAGAACAAGGGGTGGTGAGGAGAGAGCGGGTGGTATGAAACAAGCTGAAGGTTGGGTGTAAGTATTTGGCACAACTCAGCATAAGGGATGAAAAAGTTGGGCTCTTGATGGGCTCAACGTGGGAGAAAAGCGAAAAAGGTTCTAAAAATTTATAACAGTTGGGCATCAATTTCTCACCTTCTCCAGCATGTCGAGCCGTCGGGCCATCACCTGCCCCTCCTGCCTCATCTCCACCACCAGCTGGCACGCCGCCCGCAAATGCCCCTCCACCCGCTCTCTACAGTGCTTTGCCACGTCCTTTTGCAGCAGAGGCAGTGTGCACCCCATAGGGGCGTACGGGCAGGAAACAGATTTCATCCCACAGTCCGTCGCACAGTGCCTCTCCATCCCCGCTCGTGCTATTGTCAGTCTACACCCCTGCCGGCACGGCAGCATCTTAAGGGGGCACTTCTTATCGTGTACACCCATTCGGTACCGCGACACCCGCTCCCAGCAGGGCGCGTTTGCACACGGGACCTCCTCAAACGGGCACCGTTCCCGGTGCGAATCTAGCCCCGCCACAGTGCCAAATTGTGCCGAGCAATGCGCGGTACCCGCGGCATCAACGCGGCGAATCAGCGACTGTGCAAGGTTGATCCTTAAAGCCTTGTCAAGCAGGTCCGATTCTTCCAGCTGCTGAGCTAGAGACGCCACCTTATCTTCAGTATATTCCACGCGCCTGAAGGCAGATGAAAAGCGACTCAGCAAGCTCTGGCGCTGGGCCACAAACTCGTCTAGAAGAGCCTGAATGGTGGTAACCACAGGAGTGTTGCACGGCTGCTTCTCCTCTCCATTCTGTTTCAACTGCTGCACTGCTGACACCGAGGCTTCATTCCTTGAACTACTGGCTGCAGCGTCTGTTCCTCCCTCCCCTCCTACTCCTCCATTCCCCCCCTTTTCTCCCTTTTCCTCCTCTCCCCCAAGCCCATGCCAGACCCCAGTCCAAGCCTCGGTAACATCAACAGCAGCAGGAGTCACAGCAGCAGTGATCAGGCTCTTAGTGCGGGAGTCGAGGAACGTGAGCAGCTCGCCTTTGACTGCCTCTGCTGCTTCTAACGGGGATGGAGGGGAGGTGAAGAGAGTTACCGAGCTCTCTAATTGGTCGATTGTGGCCGCTGCTATGGCAGGAAGCAGCCTGGAAGCCACGGCTCGGACCTGAGAGATACACACAAGAGGGGACGGAGAAGCGGGAAGGGGTTACATCAGTATGAGAAGTAACATGCGGACCAGTTACACAAACAGCAACCGGGTATCTGAAAGCAACTATCTTGCCAGATACCTCCAGTATGGTAGTGTGGGGAGGGAGGGGAAAATGGAATGGGCTTGCCTGACTGACCACCAGCGCAACCGAAAAATGATTACAGGTAGCACTCTACACATGCTGCATTTTTAGCAGTGATCTTTTGTGGAAAGATAAACACACTACACGTAATGCACTTTGCACCTGCTCCACATCTGAATTGGGACACTGAACGCTCCCCAGAGGGTCTGTAGCCGCCGTTACACCGATCCAATACACAAGCCCAGACGCTGCTGCTGCTGCCCCCCCTGACCCCAACTGGACCTCCGCTCCCCCTGGCTCCCCCCCAGCCTCCCCTATTCCCGCTTCCGCCTCCGCCTCCCCCTCCAAACCCCCGTTTCCTTCTTCCCTCCGCATGGCTCTCCCCCTTTCCCCTTCCCCCGCATCCGCGGAAGCGCGCCTTTCTCCTCCCCCGTTTCCCCCTGTCGCCCCCGCTAGTGCCTCGAGCTCCACTTCCCGCTGCGCCGGTGACTGTACGGAGGGGGAGAGCGGAGGTGACAGATCCGGAGGTGACAGATCCGGGGGTGACAGATCCGGGGGTGACAACGGCGAGGGGAGGTCTTCCTCGAACGGCGACGACGGAAAGAGTGAAAACGCGGCAGCTAATATCGAGGGTGAAGAACTGACGGCGGATAAGGTTGGCTGCGGCGATGCTGCTGCTGCTGCTGATGATGACGATGCTAGTGCTGATGCTGACGTGGCTGAATGTAAAGGTGCTGCGTGTGGTGACGTGGAATAGGCAGGCTCCAAGGAACCGGAAACTCGTTCAGTTCCAGCGATACCCGCGTTACTGTCACAAACTGGTACAGTCACACCAGGAGACCTCGCGTGATCGCGCTTCGACGGATCAGTCGATCCTGAACCGCCTATTGCATGAATTCCTGTCATTTCCTCCATTACAGTCCCCTCCGCTAGAGGAATATCGTGGTATTCCTCCGCGTGCTCTTCCGTTGTCCCCGGTTTAAAATCTCGAGACTCCGTCGTTGCGATCCCGTCGGTGCAAGCGACATGATCCGAATCTCCGACATGATCTGCGGAGCCGCCTTCGCGACTGAAATCTGTCAATTCCGCGGTTGGCGCGGCTTCCGGTGTCATATGGGAGCGTTCTGGCAGGTGCGAAGGAGAAATTACAACGAAGAAATCACGTGACGGTTGGAACCAGTCAAGCGACACCGCGATTAAGGGTAATGAAACGGAATTCGCCAGCCTCACTAATACTAGGCAAGTGCCTGCCTGAATGCTTCAAACGGGATTCATGCTGACAGAATTATCACTTTGGCTGGGGAAGCTTGGGCCTCCTGACTCGCTTGAGAGAGACTCGGCTTGATGTCTCATAGAAACATATCATGACGGGAAACCCGAAGTAACGGGAAACGGGAAACCCGACATCTCAAGTTCCGATATCATGTATGGTGCAAATTGGTAGAACATTTTGTTTCATTTATGAGAATGTCGGAGCAATTATTAGTGCGTACAGCACATTTCCGTCTCGCAATGTGTCCCCCCATCCACGAACATGTTCGAATCGAATCGAACCCACCAGCCCCAACAGTCAGACAACCATTCGCTCACCGCAAAATGCGGCCATTCATGCTATCTTCCCGTCTCTCCGCTGTATCCCCTCCCCTCGTATCTTTCCCCGCATCCCCCGTAATTCTCACTGCGCAGCTGACTCCTCAATCCTTCCGCCACCCTCTTCCGCCAATGTTGCCCCCTTCAATCCGCGTCCTGAATCCCCGCCCCTCTGCGCAAGTGCCAAACCGCGCAATTTTCCGTCTCCCGGCTGCGCGCGGCGGCGCGCAGAGGGCATACAGCGCGGGAGCAGGAGGCGGCGATGGAGGAGCGGAGGGGGAGTCCGGCTCCCCTGAATCCGAGGCGCGGCGGCTTGCGCTTGACGACGCGGTGCGGGCGGAGATGAAGGCTCGCTCGGAGCTCGCGCTTGCGGCGATGGTGGAAGGCTCCGGTGGAGCGTCTGCCGCGGCGGGATTCGCGCAAGGAAGCGCCCCGGACGCGCCTGGGAACGCGGCGGGAGATGCGGGAGGGAACGGCGGCGCTGGTGACGGCGGCGCGTGGAAGTGGGCGGTTCGGAAGGGCGTGTGGGACGAGCTTGAGGCGCGTGACGTCGCGCGACCACCGCGCCCCGTGCACCACCGGATTCCCAACTTTGAAGGGGCGGACAAAGCTGCTGCCATGGTATGGTGGGGAGTCGTGGAACTGGGGGAAAAACGGAGAACGGGGGAGGGGGGGAGGGGGGGGAGGGGGGAGTTCGGGGGAGGGGGAAAGGGGGGAGGGGCAGGGGAAGGTGAGACCACCACGCCCTGTGCACCACCGTGTACCCAACTTTGACGGGGCAGACAAAGCTGCTGTTATGGTGGGGATGGGCAGCGGGGGAAGGGGAAGGGGAGAGGGGAGAGGAGAGAAGGTGAACCCCGGCACACTAGTAGTTCCCACTTTCTCCTTTCCCTCTCCTCTCCTCCTCTCCTCCACCCACACCCCCTCCCCCGCAACTTGAACCCCTTACCAGCTCGCATCATTACTGAAGTGCCAGGCAGCACGGTGTGTGAAGGTCAACCCCGACACTTGATGAAATAAATCCCTCCTCCCCCACCCCAACCCCCAACCCCCCCTCCCCCGCACCTCAACCCCTTTACCAGCTCGCATCATTACCGGAGTTCCAGGCAGCAGGGTGCGTGAAGGTCAACCCCGACACGCCTCAGAAGGCCGTGCGCCTCGCGGTGCTGGAAGGTGTGTTGTGCAGCGAGCAGGAAGCATTCGTGCAGCTGTGCGGTCGTGTGCGGTGCAATTGACATGTAGTCACACTCCACACTGTGCTGGAACTGGAAGGTGTGTTGTGCAGCGAGCAGAGCACAGGCATAGGCTATGTAGCATAGGCAGAGGCACACTGCCGTACTGTGCTCCAGAGCATAGGCAGAGGCACACTGCCGTACTGTGCTCCAGAGCATAGGCAGAGGCACACTGGGGTACTGTGCTCCAGTGTGGCAGGCTGGCAGCCGATGCAGTGTGGTGAGGTGCGTAGGCTGCTTTTGAGTCGACTCAAATGTTGCATAGCCTGCTCGCTGCATAACAACCTTCAGACCCTTTTCAGCGGGCAGGAGCATAGGCATTGGTTTTCCAAGCAGTAAAAGGTAACAGTAAGTCGATTTTTGAGTCTACTCAAAGGTAACAGTCATTTGTGCAGAAACTTTTGCGCTTCCCTGCTAACCCACCCCATGCATTGAGGTGTATTTTGAGGCGCCTCAAAATAAACCTTTGCGCTTCCCTGCTAACCCACCCGAGCCCCACCTGCGAACCGGTTTCTTCTCCCGCCTCTCATGCTTCCTAGTACCTTACCCCTATACCCACCCGTCGCTTTTCTCCTTCCCCGGCTGCCCTGCCCCGTCCACCCCCATCCAGGCCTCAAGCTCCTGCTCACCCCCCAGCCCCGCCTGCGAACCGGCTTCTTCTCCCGCCTCTCCACCGACCACATACCGCCCGACCAGCTGTTCACCCCCACTCTTCCCCCTCTGCTCCCCCTCCCATCCAGCCAACAAGCTCCTGCTGACCCCCCAACCGCGCTTACGAACCGGCTTCTTCTCGCGCCTCTCTGCCGCCCACATACCGCCCGACCAGCTGTTCACCCCCACTCTCACCCACTCTCACCCCGCCCCAACTTCCCCCCCCCAGCCAACAAGCTCCTGCTGACCCCGCAACCTCGCCTCCGCACTGGTTTCTTCTCGCGCCTCTCTGCCGCCCACATACTGCCCGACCAGCTGCTCGCCGCCTGCACGGCGGCCGGCGTGGCTCGGCACGGAGTGCCGGTGGCACTAGAGGACAAAGTTGGCGTGGATATGGTGGTGCTGGGGTCCGTTGCTGTTGACCCCACGACTGGTGCCAGGCTGGGGAAGGGCGAGGTGAGGGAAGGCGAGCGAGAGATGTTTTGCCTCATGGATTGCGGCAGATGTTGCCTCAATCATTGCCCCATGCATTGCACCATGCATGGCAGCATGCGAGTTGGGGTGGATACTGTGGTCCTGGGGTCTGTTGCTGTTGACCCCACGACTACTCCCTCCTCTGTGTTATACACCCATGCGTCAATCCCCAACCCACAGGGCTTTGCAGAGTTGGAGTATGGCATTCTGAGGTGGATGGGGGCAGTCACTGACGACACTGCTGTGGTCACCACCACCTGCTCTTACCGCACCGCACCACGTGCTACTCCCTCCTATGTGCTATACACCCATGCGTCAATCCCCAACCCACAGGGCTTTGCAGAGTTGGAATATGGCATTCTGAGGTGGATGGGGGCGGTCACAGACGACACCCCTGTGGTTACCACTGGTGAGCCCGCTGACTCAACACAATGCTTGCTTCGCGTCTACTAGGCAGTCACCGAGGTTGGTTCAATGCCACACACCTTGGCTCTAGCGGGGGCTTTGCAGAGTTGGAGTATGGCATTCTGAGGTGGATGGGGGCGGTCACAGACGACACCCCTGTGGTTACCACTGGTGAGCCCGCTGACTCAACACAATGCTTGCTTCGCGTCTACTAGGCAGTCACCGAGGTTGGTTCAATGCCACACACCTTGGCTCTAGCGGGGGCTTTGCAGAGTTGGAGTATGGCATTCTAAGGTGGATGGGGGCGGTCACAGACGACACCCCTGTGGTCACCCCTGGTGAGCGCACCCTTGATGAGGTCGAATCGGTTGTTACATCAAATTGGCTCAGTAGTCACCTTGAGTCGCGTCAACAATGGTCACATTGGATCGTCGAACCCGAACCCCAGCCCACTTACACTTACACCGCACATAACTCCCTCCCACCATTACTCCCTACTTAACCCCCCCCTGCAATACACGACTGTCAGCTAGTGGCAGCAGGCGCCATCCCATCCCAACCAGCAACCTGGGGCAGCACGACCTGCCGGTTGACATCATCTGCCCGTCCTGTGCCATGGGATTGCACTCATACTTCTCACCCCAACCCCACCCCACTTGAACCCTGCAGTGCATGACTGTCAGCTAGTGCCGGCAGGGACCATCCCAAGCAGCAAGCTGAGGCAGCACGACCTGCCTGTTGACATCATCTGCCCTTCCCGTGTGGCTGTGCCGTGTGTTGTGACTCCCTACCCCAACCCACCACCAGTGCACGACTGCCAGTTGGTGGCAGCAGGGGCCATCCCAAGCAGCAAGCTCAGGCAGCACGACCTGCCTGTTGACATCATCTGCCCTTCCTGTGCCCTGTGCCTTGTGTTGTGACTGCTATCATACTCCATTCTCCCTACCCATTCCCCCCACCTGTACCTCCTATCCCACCCATAACCCCAATCCCACCCATCAGTACATGACTGTCAGTTAGTTGCAGCAGGAACCATCCCCACCAGCAAGCTGAGGCAGCACGACCTGCCTGTTGACATCATCTGCACGCCCACTCAGATCATCCGGGTTTCCAGCAAGATTCCTAAACCCTCAGGTGAGGCACTACAGGTGAGATGCTTCAGGTGAGTTGTCGTCGGTAACCCGTGCGCACAACCAAATCACGACTTGCCCGTCGACATCATCTGCTCAGGTGAGAGGCTCAGGTGAGAGGCTCAGGTGATCAGGTGGGCGTTCAGGTGAGACGGTTGGGTGACGTGTGAGGGGGCATTTTTAACCCTGCCCCCTCCGTCCACCCCTGTTATCCCCTCATTTACTCCAGGCATCATTTACTGGCATGTGCTGTGCCCCCCGAAACTGGCCCAGAAGCTGGCTCAGATTCGCATCTTGCAGCAACTCAAGGCCACCCCATTCCCACCTATCCACAACCCCTTATCACCACTTTCCACCCATGTCCGCCCCTTTACACCCTCCAGGCATCTATTGGCACCTGCTCTCTCCTCAAAAGCTAGCTCAGATCCGAATAATGCAGCAACTCAAAAGCACCCTGTTTCCACCAATTCAGAACACCTTATCCTCCCTTTCCACCCCTTACCATCCCTTTCCACTCTACACCCTGCAGGCATCTACTGGCACCTACTCTCCCCCCAAAAACTAGCTCAGATTCGCATCCTGCAGCAACTGAAAAGCACCCTTGAAGCACAGACAGGCGCCGCCCTCCCGCTGGGACCAGACGAGGAGCTGCCGCCCGTTGCCGCTCGGCACGGGAAGGGGGGCCAGGGAAAGGAAGGGGGAAAGGGTGGGGGGGAGGTGGGGGAGAGAGGAGGGGTGGGGAGGGGGAGGGGGGGGAGGGAGAGGGAGAGGGGAGAGCAGGGGAGGGGAGGGGAGGCGGAGTGAGAGAAAGGTGTGGAGGAGGGGGAAAGAGAGTGAGCAGCGAGCAATGCTCCAGTTGCCAACGTCCAAATGCTTCATATTTCCTGGTGACTTTTGAGTCGACTCAAAAGCCACAATGCTCCAGTTCCCAATGTCCAAATGGTTCCTATTTCCTTTTTGTGTTTGTTCTTCATGTTAAAATTTTGGTGAAGGTGCTACTGTGTCTGCTCTGCTGAAGGGGTAAAAAATCCCAAGCAAAATTGAATGAATCACTTGGCAACAAATTGGCTTCTAGCATTTTAAACTTCAGCCGTTAAAGCTCAAGGCCCAAATTGCAGAGCGCGCGGGACAAGCTTACTAAAGTTGATCGGAGTGCTTTCTGAGTGTTGTTTTGGTTGCGAATTGTGGTTACGAGAAGTGCGATGCAATTTGATTGGCCATCAATTTTTGGACGAATCGGAAAGCAGGAAACACCAAGAATATTGTGAGTGCAATTTGGGACTCGAGAACCAGAACCGAGTTGCTTCCTGGGGTTTGCTGAGTCAGCGAAAATTCTGACTGTGTAGCGAGAAGCTGCGCGAAACTAAACACACCAACTTCAAACAAGTCAACCTTCCTCTCACGCTACCCAAAGGTCAACCTTACTAAGGTTGAACAATTTGGGCCTTGAGCTTTAATGAGTTGGCAACAAGTGCCCCTGCCCACACAACTCTCTTGCCTTTGCCCTCCGAGGACAAATGCCCTAATGTAGCCAGCCAGAGCTATAAAGTATGGACAATGGATGGATCCAGCTGACGACATTCTTCCACATGCATCCCATCTCTTGTTGCACCACCACCAGCAGCCAGGACCAGGATCCCTTTTGAGGCGCCTCAAAAGTGATGTAGCCAGAGCTATGAAGTATGGATAATGGATCCAGCTGATCACATTCTTCCACATGCATCCCATCTCACCCTCACCCTCACCCCTCCGCCACTCCTCTTATCCTCTCCATCAGTTCAGCCTGCTCGCCTGCCCGTGTGCCAGAGGGGTGCGCCCATTCACCCCTCTAGTGCGGCCCCAGCTTCGATCCTCTGATGCCCTGCTTCCAGTCGCCCCCCCCACTGCCATTCACCAACCTGCTCTCGCCCCCTCCCCCCCCCCCCCCTCCTCCCCTGTGGTGCTCTGGCAATGCTGTCGGTGGTGCTTTTGAGTCGACTCAAAAGCAGAACCAACCTGCTCCAACCTGCTCTCGCACCAACCTGCTGTCAGTGGTGCCGGTGGTGATGATGCAGTCAGACGGGAGGGAGGGAGGGAGGGAGCAGGTGGATGGGATGAGAGTGTGATTTGATGGGAGCAGGGAGATGTGTTTTGAGGCGCCTCAAAACAGGAAGGCGGCAATGCTGTCTGTGGTGCCGGTGGTGACGATGCAGTCAGACAGGAGGGCTGCCAGGGAGGGAGGGAGGGAGGGAGGGAGGGAGGGAGGGAGGGAGGGAGGGAGGGAGGGAGGGAGGGAGGGAGGGAGGGAAGGAGCAGGTGCAGATGGGGAGTGTGTGATGGGGGAGAGGGGGAAAGGCCGCAACGCTGTCAGTGGTGCCGGTGGTGACGATGCAGTCAGACGGGAGGGCAGGGAGGGATGGATGGAGGGAGGGAGGGAGGGAGGGAGAGCGAAGGGAGGGAGCGGGTGGAGGTTGGGTGAGTCAGCGCAAGTGATGGCATCTCAGTGCCCCTGGTGATATGACTTGACGCCTCCCCACCCCGGCCCATCAAACTCATGACGGAGCCAGGCGGCTGCCCCAGCGTCCACAGTGCCCAGCGACAGCATGGCAGTCAGGAACAAGCAACGGACACTCATAGCACTGGGGGCCGCATGCATCACCTCCCCACCTCGGCCCATCAAACTCGGCCATGAGACGTGTCCCCACAGCGCCCATGACGGATCCAGGCGGCTGCCCCAGCGACAGCATGGCAGTTAGGACCAAGCAACGGACACTCATAGCAGAACGACAGTCAGAATGCCCATGACAGAGTGACAACGAGCAATGGACACTCATAGCACTGGAGGCTGCACAGCCAGCATGGCAGTCAGGGTGGCAGTGGCAGAGAGTGCGGCAGAGAGTGAGAGTGGGAGCATGAGTGTAGCGGGATTCAAGGCGCACGGGGGTCGAGGCGGCGTGGGGACGGCAATGCGCATCCGCGGCACTACGCCGCAGATTGGGGAAGCCATAAGATGCAAGGTCATGAGAAAGGTAGGAACCATGAAAACTGTTACAGATCTAAACTGCAAGGCGATGACCGTCGAACGTCTCTTTCGCTGCGCGGATCCTTGATATGGTAGCTGCGCTGATCCGTCAAGCCGATGATTGCTCCGCTGATTGCGCTGATTGATGCGCGGACAGTTGCGCCAGTCGTTTTGCGAATCGCTCCGCTGATGGTTGCACCGATCGTTGCGCTGACCGCTGGGTTGAGCGCGGCGCTGATCGTTCCGCTGCTTGCGCTATTAGTTGCGCTGATATTGCGCTGACCGTTGCGCTGATCGTCAGATCGCTCCGCCGTGCGACGGAACCAACGGCCGTGTCGTAACTCATTCTAGCTGTAACACTCATTCCAGCTGTAACACTTCAGGATGTACCGAAAGCTGGACATAACGAGTCTATCTTCGCACTAAGCCAGTCAGTCAAGCGATAGCTTGGGAAGCTATACCGGGATTCTGCGAACGAGTGTTTTAAGGTCAAGATTATCGAGAGTAATATCGAATTTCAACCAGAGCCTGCAAATAAGTCTACTAAGGTGAATGGTCTCAGAACGATTTGAGGCAACCACAGTCATGAGATTAATTGCTGCTGGAGACACGAGGTTTGGAGTTAGGAACTCAGGAGAAACTACGAAAAGCGTAACTTTCATGTCCTAGCCACATTTTTCAACTAATAAGTTTCACGACAGAACTCCGTCCAAGGTGCCATTCATACGAGAGTACAGAGTAATTCATTATATAGAGAGGCACAAGTCAGAACCGAGAGTCGTTGCTAAGCTATCTAAGCTCCCTAAGCCAAGCGTAAACAGATCCAGTTGAGCCTCCACAGCAGCGCCTCGACTCCAAAGCAGCTTGAATATCTTCTTATCTTCTAGCCTTCACAGCAGCTTGAGTCTTGACTGTCTTCTGATCTTGTCTTCTTGACCCCTCTTGGCCGTCAGAGGCAAATGCCCCTGACGTTACACCCACGCACCACGATGAGGTGAGGGTCATTCGCGTGGGGCTTGGGAGGGAGGGGGGGGGGGGGGGGGGAAGTGCTTGGGGGGGAAGCGGTTAAAATTTGTGACGGGCAGATCAAAATAAACACCTCGAATTTGACGATAGGTTCCCCGTTGATTGTTGTCAGAATGCTGTCAGAATGACGGCCAGCCGTCAAGAGGACAGCCAGCCGTCAATAGGCATACCTGAACGCACCTTTACCACCCAAACCTGAACGCCCGTGTGTGTGTGCCTAATCGAGTCTGTCTAACGCTCCTAAACGTTCTGTACCCACTAGCACACCTCTTATAGGCCTGGCGTTTGCGCTGGATGCTCCCGCTTGCGCCAAAACTGCAGGAAGGGCGGGCCGGGAGGGGAAGTCAAATTCCACCTCGCTCCTTGCTCCTTGCTCCTCGCTCCAGCCAGCTCCTCGCCGCGCTCCACGTGTGTGGAGCCTCCCTCGAGACCAACTTACCTGCACCACAGACGACAAAAAAAAGACCATTAGTCATTTTGAAAACGAAACAGCGCGCTAAAAGCGAGAAACATGCGGAAGCGTGACAGAGAGAGAAGCGCAAAAGGCGACGAGCGGAAAGGTGAAGAGACGACGGGACGAAATGACCACCACAGCAGAGAGAAGCGCCGTCACTCACCGTGCGCCGCGGTGCGCCGTGCTCTGATGTCCCGCCGTTTGCTCCTGCTCCCGCTCCCGCTAGTCCTGCGCTAAAAGAGAGCAAACGACAAAGGAAGTTAGAATCTGGAAAAAATGAAGAAAATAACTGAAACTGAAACTTACCAAGAATGAGAAGTCCTCGTAGCTTGACCTCCCGTCGCCGCCAGCGCCGTTGCTCCCGCTCCCGCTAGTCCTGCGCTAAAAGAGAGCAAACGACAATAGAAGTTAGAATCCGGAAGAAAAAAGGAAAGGAAACTGAAACTGAAACTTACCAAGAATGAGAAGTCCTCGTAGCTTGACCTCCCGTCGCCGCCAGCGCCGTTGCTCCCGCTCCCGCTAGTCCTGCGCTCAAAGCGAGCAAAGGACAATAGAAGTTAGAACATGGAAAAAATAAAGAAAATAACTGAAACTGAAGCTTACCAAGAATGAGAAGTCCTCTTAGCTTGACCTCCCGCCGCCGCCAGCGCCGTTGCTCCCGCTCCCGCTAGTCCTGCGCTAAAAGAGAGCAAACGACAATAGAAGTTAGAATCTGGAAAAAATAGAGAAAATAACTGAAACTGAAACTTACCTAGAATGAGAAGTCCTCTTAGCTTGACCTCCCGCCGCCGCCAGCGCCGTTGCTCCCGCTCCCGCTAGTCCTGCGCTAAAAGAGAGCAAACGACAATAGAAGTTAGAATCTGGAAAAAAGAAGAAGAAAATAACTGAAACTGAAACTTACCAAGAATGAGAAGTCCTCGTAGCTTGACCTCCCGTCGCCGCCAGCGCCGTTGCTCCCGCTCCCGCTAGTCCTGCGCTTAAAGAGAGCAAAAGACAAAGGAAGTTAGAATCCGGAAGAAAAAGGAAAGGAAACTGAAACTGAAACTTACCAAGAATGAGAAGTCCTATTAGATTGACCTCCCGTCGCCGTCAGCGCCGTTGCTCCCGCTCCCGCTAGTCCTGCGCTTAAAGAGAGCAAAAGACAAAGGAAGTTAGAATCCGGAAGAAAAAAGGAAAGGAAACTGAAACTGAAACTTACCAAGAATGAGAAGTCCTATTAGATTGACCTCCCGTCGCCGCCAGCGCCGTTGCTCCCGCTCCCGCTATTCCTGCGCTAAAAGAGAGCAAACGACAATAGAAGTTAGAATCCGGAAGAAAAAAGGAAAGGAAACTGAAACTGATACTCACCACGAAAGAGGGAGCCGTCGGCGCCGTTGGGATGCGCCGCCAAGCGCCTCGGTAGACGCGCCTTCCGCCCGGGGTACGCGCCGTCCACCAACAGCCCGCGAGACGCGCCATTCACCCGGGTTACGCGCCGTCCGACCGCGAGAGACGCCGTCCGTCCGCGAGACGCGCCATCCGCCCGCGAGACGTGCCCGAAGAAGCTTCACCAGCTGGTAGCGAATCGATGAAGCGCCGCCAAGCGCTTCCGTGAGACCCGCTGCGCCATTCGTCCGTCAAGGCGCTGCTCTTAGCGACTAGCCGCGTCGCCGAGCGTAGTAGGGTCGTGGAGCCTCCACCATGTGAGCCAATGGTGGTTGACGGTAGGATCGTCGTGGTTGACGGTGGAGCGTTCGTCACCGACGGCAAAAGCATGACCTTCGATCGCCAAGGTCTGTAGAAAAAAAACACGTTAGTACTAGAAAAACGCATTGCCGAAATGATGGCATAAAGGTGTACGTTCATTACGAAAAGATAGCACGAAAAGAACTTCACTGACCTTGGCCCATCTCGGCGCATATCGGCGGCAAAGGCGCTATCGGCGGCGGCAAAGGCGCTATCGGCGACGACAATCTCGGTACTTGGGCGTTCAAGGCCGCGAGCGCTGCTCCGTCGGCGATCGTCGCTGCGTCGTCGCTTTCGAGTCGCTTTGGAGTGGCCATCTTAGGACGGTCGCCGAGGCCTGAAAAAGAGGAGGCAACAAATTAGTACTTTAAACGAAGCACTAAACTTGAAGTTACTGAAAGACGAGTGAGTAAGGGAAAGGTGGTCAAAAGTTAAACTTAGAGATGCGTCAAGTTACTGAAAGACGAGTGTGATCAAGATGAGTGAGTAAGGGAAAGGTTCACGTACCCCGATTTGGCCGACCTGTCCGCCGTTGGCGACGGCACTTTGAACTAGACGACGGTGAGAGCCAATAGGCGATCGGCGATTTGAACGCGATGATCGGCGAGAGCCAATAGACTTCGGGTTGGGCTTCAGGCTGGGCCAATCGGCGTCCAGCTTGACTTGGGTTTCAAACTTCAAACTTCAGCTCCCGTCCGTAGAAGCTTGAGCTTGACGTCTGCAGGAAAACAAGGAACGCGTTAGAAGTATTCTCAGAAGCACGTCAAAAAGGCGGAAAACGAACGATTCAGCGTAACAAAACAATGACGAAGTTGAAGAGAAATTACCGTCTCCGTGTAGGAAGGTCGGAGGGAGGTCGCACCTTGAATCAGCATCTTAAACTCGTTGAAGAAACTTGAAGCTGAAGCTCTTTTCGAGACGAGCTTGGAGCGAAGACGCGACTCGCATCCGGAGCTCGGGCCAACGGCGATGGTGACAATCCGAAGTTCACTTGGGCTTGAGGTTGGGCTCATCACTTGGGCTTCAGGTTGGGCTTGAGTGAGCTCGAAGCGCCAGCGACGGTAGATGCTCTCATCCGGTTTTGAAGTGCGACCAGAAACGGATAAGGAGGTCGTCTGCAGAAAAACTAAGAGCGAGATGTGAAAAGGATTTAAAAAGAAGTCGAACTATTTTTTGCGGATCTGGAAAACACAATAAATAGTCCTTACCTCCACTCGATAGTCATTCTGTTGGAAGACTTTGCAGGTGGAGCTTGAAGATATCGGACCTTTACACCGAAGATATCGCCGGTCCGGAGCTTGAAGCATCCCGCCATTGAAGTGCAACCCGCGTTTGAAGCGTCTTCCCACTCGACCGTCTCCGTGTTGGTGACGGGGAAGAGACCGCAGCGACTTCCCTTGGAGGCAGCGACGGGGGTGGCCGCAAAGCTCTCTTCGCCGATTTGTAAATCTTAACGGCGACACTTCATGTCTCGCCAAGACGGTCGCCACGAGGTCTGCGGGAAGAAAGCAACAGGTTAGTACCTGAACAATGTTAAAAAGCTTAAGAACTTAACTGGCCTAAAACGGTTACAGGAAGAAGTCGAAAAACTTTGCACTTACCCCACTCGACCGGTGAAGACCGCCGGGGAGCGACAGTGAAGTGGTTTTTGCGGTTGCGAGAATTGTCTTCCCTGCAACAGCGACGGGGAAGGTCGGCAACAGCGTCTTGAAGCTGACGCATTTGAAGCTGAATCTCTGGCCGAGACGAGCTTGGAGCGGAGACCCCGTTGCGATATTTTCGCCGTAAGAATCCATGGCGTGGAGATATTGCAGAGATGATCCTGGCTGTGTCGGCGCTCTGATTTGCCGGGAAGATCGCGCCGTAAAACTCTCGCCGTGGAAGCTTCGTGGCGAGAAGATCTCTAAGAGAAGTCTCGCGAAGACTCGCCATGTAAATCTTGCGGAAGAAATCATAGATATTCGCGGTGTAAAGGTTGCCGCGAAAGGGTTTCGTACACGGTTCGGCCCAAGGCACTTGGCAGCTCGCTCCTCACAGGACTCTACCCACCCACCCCACCCCGACCTCTATTCTAACTCAACGCCGCTTCATGCCATGGGCTTCTCCGTGTACTAGTAACCGTGGCTTCAGGTAGCATAGTTTGCTCCGTGGAGCTTCTAGCCTGAAGTCTAATCTCATTAGGTTGGAGCTTTCAAAGTATTCTTCAATGAGTTTGAGAAGAAAATGGACGACAAAGACATAACATCGATGGTTATGCTCAGAATGGTTGCGAAGGTCGCTGCTGAAACAGAAGGAAGAAAGTGCTACTAATGAATGGATGAACGAACGAACCCAATTCAGCAATTCAGCCACTGCGGCGTCTCGTAGCGCGACTTCAGATCAAATGTGATGGGTCAACAATGGATTGAGTAATAGAAAGTTAAGGCATTAACTTAGGTGCAGTACGGTCGGACGGGGTGCCACGCTCTTGCTCTGCCAGAGTGGGAGGGAATTACTGAAACCACGCTGGGTGCGCGGTGCGATAGTAAACAGAGTGTGTTGTGAATGGGTGGATGGTGGTGGTGTAACCACCCTCAACGGTGAAGATTGCACTTGGCTGTGGCATGGGATGGAGGCGTGGTGGTGGCCATTGTCATTGGCCAATGAAATGCCCCGCCGACTAAGCGGCAGAGGACATTTCCCGAGAGCGCGTGTTGTGGCGGCTCAAACTGTGTCCCCGCCTCATCCATCCAGCCAGAACCATGTTGTACATTCATCGAACTGTACACAGTTCGGTTAAACTTGAATATTTGGTTGAAATTGTCAGTATGCAAACGAATTTTCTAAGGGCGTGTATCTCTGCTGGGGGGGTTTGTTGGGTGTGCTGGTCTGCTAAGGCAGGCTCGAACTTTCTAGGAGGTGGTTGACGTGGCGCTGTTTTTGGTTGGGTCAGCATGAGTGAGTGTTTTTAGTTTCGGCGTGAGTTGCGGGACGGCTTTGGTCTGGTTGGGGGTATTCGTCCGTGGCGCTGTGACTTGCTTCTCCTTTCTCGGGCAGCTGGGAAAACAATGGGTGGATGAGAAGAGATTTGCGCAAACCAATGGGGATGATTTGCGTTTTGACACCCTGGCACAACCACCACGGCAATTTCAACACCCGAACCTCGATTTTCCGAACCTGCCACACCTAATGCTTCTCAGCTGCCATTGTGCAGATGTGAAATATCGCGAATAATATTATTACCTCACCCTAGTTGTGTTCGGTAGTAGTTTTTCTATGTCAGATCTTAGCGCGGTAGCCGATATAAGTAGAATTCTTTGACAATGCAGCAAGTGTGTGCTCACTCCTCGGTCGTACGTACAGTTAGTCGCTTCACACGTCTATTGGCGCGCTAGCAGTATTAGATATGATCAGATATCGCAGTCTCGCTAAGACAATTTCAAGTTGCGCGCTCCAGATCTGACTTCCATTTACTTGCGTAATGCGGACAGAATCATAACGTTTGTCGGCGGACGAGTTACTATCGTCGATTTCGCACGCATCAGTCACGTAGTGCGTTTCGTCGATTAGACAGCGCGTTTCGTCTACCTCACAGCGTCGACTGTATCCTGGACGCAAGACGCGGTAAGGGAGGTGAGTGGAGGTGACGGTAATTTCCCCTCCCCCCTCCCGTTCCCGCTGTCCCCCTCATTACTTCAGGGCGTCGACGGTAACCTGTACTCGGGACGCGGAAAAGGAGGACGGGAGGTGAGCGGAGGTGAGTGGAGGGGAGAAGGACGGAAAGGATCGGCGAAAGGTCACAGGCAAAGCAGCCCCTTTCCCTTGATTCCCCTCTCCCCCTCCCCCCGTTTCCCCCCCTCCCCTTCCGCCGCTTCCCCTTATGACCCTATGACCTAGCCTATGACCTAGCCTACACTTTCACCCTATGACCTAGCCTGGAAACGTCATTCATCTCTCCGCTTCCCAGCCCTCCCTTTTCTCCCTTGGCAGGCCTAGAAACGTCACGCATCTCTCAGCTTCCCAACTCGCTCATCCTCCCCGCTCTCCCCTCATCCTCCCCGCTCTCCCCTCATCCTCCCCGCTCTCCCCTCATCTTCCTCGCTTTCCCCTCATTCCACCGCTCTTCCCTCTTCTCCCCGCGCTCCCCTCATCTCCTCGCTCTCCCCTCATCTCGCCCGCTCTCCCAAAATTTCCCCGCTTCCCCCCCATTCCCCCACTCCTCCTCTCCTCATCCTCCCCGCTCTCCCCTCATCCCCCTCGCTTTCCCCTCATCTTCCCCGCTCTCCGGTCATTCCCCCCTCTCCCTTCATCCAACCAGCTCCCCCTTCATATCACTGCCGCGCTCTATTGTTTCACTCCGTTCCTTCACTCCATATCCCCCTATTCCTTCACGCACCCTCATCTCCCCTTGTCTCACTCCGTTCTCCCTCTCTCCCCATCCTCCCCTGTTCCCCGCTTTCGGGCTCACCCCTCATCCCCTTCCCCCTCCCATGGTGATGCCTCGTCTCCCCCTCTCCCCCCCACCTCATCCACCCTTCAACTCCCTCCCCTCCCCTACCACCGACCCCTCATTTCCCTCATCTCTCACACCCCCCTCCACTCTTCCACAACCCAGCCACTCAAGTGGGTGAATTCCGTTGTTTGTGCAACACTCTCAGGCCTGCCTTCACCGCACCATTTTCTGTGAGTGTGGCTGCTTGTGTTTGCCGCATGTCATTTGACTTCTCAGCTGCCTGCTCTGGCACTGGCTGCATGTGGCGTGACTGGTTGACTTGGCAGCTACAGAAACGACTCTCTAGGTTCCTGGGCTGACGCGTGGCTGCATTTGGCAGGCCCACTAGCTCCCGCTGTACAAGTTTTGATTTACTTATATAGCCTGTTTGTGCCTACCTACCACAGTGTTGTTATTGATAAAACATTTTGGTACTGCACCAGCCTGCTATGCAATTCTGTCCACCTGTTCACATCATAATAAAAGATTATCTTGAACTTGAGCAGTTTGCAGCTTGGCAAGAAGCAACATAAGTCACGGTACAGGTGCCTGTGCTGAGTACCGGTGCTACCACACCCAGCCTTGGCTTATTTTGCACTTCGTCTCAAGAACCCTTCTCTAGCGAGCAGTGCAGAGCCAAAAGCAGCACCGGTGTTGCCTGATGGGGTCACAGGCACTCCCACCCAGGGCTGACTTTTCGAATAAAACCACTCTGATTTTTTTGGCCCCCCAATTTTTTTTAGTCTGAGGCCCATTTTCCAAAAAGTGAATACTCTGATTTCTCAGGAACCAGAGAAGTATAACTCTGAAAATTTTATAATTCAGAGACTAAGAGCGTATTCCTACGGGGCCACCTCGTATCAAGAATGGTACTCCTGCCTGTAAATTGACAAGTTCGCCAAAACCTCATATCAGTAAAAGTTGCCGGTTAACCCACATGTGCGACTCCATCAACAGCTGATGTGGCATGTTGCGACCCAGCATGAACAAGTTTGCACACTTTGCACGTTCGCGCGCGGCGCACGACTGCCACCGTGTGCAGTTTCGCATGACTGTTTGTCGGCCGCATTCACTGGACTGACGACTTCGCGTCAACTGGAACCGTGCGTCGGAAAATCAGCACGTTCACTTCTGGGTGTGCGAGCATTTTCATTGGTGCGCTGGTTCGGTCTATTCTTGATATAAGGTGTTTTATACCGTAAACAAAAGTCAATTTCATTCTTGATACGAGGTGGCCCCGTAGGAATACGCTCTAAGGCAGGTTTTCCTACTAACGAACCTTTTGCACAAGTTCGGAGGGATGGGTTTTCCTCGAAGTAACAGGTATGGCGAAGGGGAGTTCGTACTCTGTAGTATGAAAACTCATTATCCGGTAAGCAAGTTCTCTGAATTTTTCAGTATCGAAAAAACCATTAGTCTGAAGCACTCATTTTTCAAAACCAGCCAACTCTGAAAAATCAGGAATGTCAGGAAAATAGTCTGAAATTTCAGACAATCAGACTAAAATAGTCTGATATCGTCAGCCCTGCTCCCACCACTCGCCCCCTGATATGGTATCCATGTGTAGTTATTTCGCGGTGTGTCTCAAGAATCCTTCTCTAGCGAGCAGTGCAGAACCAAACGCAGCATCCGTGTTGCCTGATGGGGCCACAGGCACTCCCATCTCTCGCTCCCTTATAGCACTCCATGTAGGGTTGCCTGCGCCTCCCCCTGCGGTGTACACCCGCTTCACTGGTGGCGACGCTCCCAGGTCAGCTAATAACGAGTATGCCCTGGCCTGGTGGGGGAAGTTGGTTGGGGAGAGCAGGAGCGAATCATGCGTGTGGGCGTGATGTGATGTTGTGTGTATAGGAGCATATGGGAATGAGCAATTGAGTGTAATGGTGCTTGTGTGAGTGTATGTGACTGTAACAAGGCAGAAAAGACTAGGAAGTAATGAAGAAAGCGACTGAGGAACAGAAGCGCACCTCAATCATGGCTATGGACTCAAGAATGCCGTGCAGGAACAGAGATCGACGGAAGATTTCTAAAGTGAATGACGGAACAAGGGAGTGGGGAGCAGAAGCGCACCTCAATGGTGGCAATGGACTCAAGAATGCCGTGCAGGAAGAGAGAGTGAGATGGAACATTTTTTAGAATAGAAGGGGGACAAGGAAATGACGAGCACAAGGGAGGGAGTAATAGAAGCGCACCTCAATGGTGGATATGGACTCGAGAATGCCGTGCAGGAAGAGAGAGTGAGATGGAAGATACTAAAGTGAGTGACGGAACAAGCAAGTGGGGAGCAGAGGCTCACCTCAATGGTGGCAATGGACTCGAGAATGCCGTGCAGGAAGAGAGCGTCGTCAGCAGGGCGAGGAGTCAAGCTGCATTGAGAGAGAGAGAGCAAAGGTGTGAATTATGCAATCCAGTAATTAGTTGCTTGTGCCATCAAATGCCATGCGTGGGTGCACAGGAACAAGCCTGTATGGCACAACGCTCGGACACAGACAGACGCACTGAGAACAAGCATGCGATAGGTTGTAGATAGGTTTGGATCCGAGGCTGCACACTCACCGAGGCAGCAGGTCAGGGTCGGACACGGGGAACCTCTCCCCAGGGCGAGTAAGTGGGTAGTAATCAAGTTTACACTCTACACTCGGGTCTATTCTTGCACTCAGCTCCCTCAGTTGCTCGTCTGTGAAATACCCCCGCAGCACTGCGCCACCCGTGTTCGACGCCCCGCCGACCAGCCACTTGCATTCCTTGTCTTCTTCTGCCGCACCTCCCTGCTCTGCCTCCCCCTCATTCTCCACCCCGGGCGGCGCCCAATCTCCGGGCGGCAAACGGTGGCTGTATACTCCAAAACGTGCATCGTCAATTCTCGCAGTGCTGACGAGCTTGACAGCGAGGGTAGATCAGAGGGAGGTGACGGCATACCCGGGGGTAGTTACCCTCGCGGCCAGAAAGGCGGCAATGCTGTCGGTGGTGCCGGTGGTGACAATGCAATCAGACGGGAGGGCTGCAGGCAGGGAGGGAGGGAGGGAGCAGGTGGATGGGATGAGAGTGTGATTTGATGGGAGCAGGGAGATGTGTTTTGAAGCGCCTCAAAACAGGAAGGCGGCAATGCTGTCTGTGGTGCCGGTGGTGACGATGCAGTCAGACAGGAGGGCTGCCAGGGAGGGAGGGAGGGAGGGAGGGAGGGAGGGAGGGAGGGAGGGAGGGAGGGAGGGAGGGAGGGAGGGAGGGAGGGAGGGAGGGAGGGAGGGAGGGAAGGAGGGGGGAAAACGTGGGGAAGGCGGATGTTCATGTCCCTCGCAGCCAGGAAGGCGGATGTTCATGTCCCTCGCAGCCAGGAAGGCGGCAATGCTGTCGGTGTGATGCAGTCAGAAGGGAGGGCTGCAATGGGGAGGGAGCAGGTGAGAGTGTGATGGTGAGTGTGTGGTGGTGAGTGCGTGATGGTGAGTGTGTGATGGTGAGTGCGTGATGGTGAGTGTGTGATGGTGAGTGTGTGATGGTGAGTGTGTGATGGACAGTAGTGTGTGGTGGTGAATGTGTGACCAGTGCAGGTGACCGCACATAAGATATACATGTATGGCTCATTGCACGACACGCACTAGCATGGCATGACATAAGATTCTAAAGCCAGCAGCGTGCGTGTCTTGTGTGGACACCAGTGCAGGTGTCCACACATAAAACTCCCCCAGCTCGACTCACCAAACTCGGTCGTGAGTTCTGCCCCCACGGTGCCAATGAGGGAGCCAGGCGGCAGCACCCGTGGCAGCATGGGCGCCAAGGGCAGCGCGAGCAGCCAGTCGGGGTAGGCGCTGCTCTCAGGGTCGTAGCCCAGCTGGGAGGAGGGGGGGGGGGGGAGGTAAGGTGTATTGGGGGAGGCGTGCTTTGAGAATGATTGGGATCACCCTGCCAGTCGAATTTTGAGTTGACTCAAAATTCACCTGCCGGTCTCAAGGTAGTAGCCCAGCTGTAGAAGCGGGAAGGGGTATTTGGGGGAGGCTTATTGGTGATACAGGAAGGTATCGACGTCCATCCTACTCCAAAACGACATCTTATTAGCACCATCTGACCCACCTACACGACCATCTCGTTATCTCATCGCACCTTGCAAGCTGCGCCAATGACATCACATCTCATCAAACCTTGAGTGCGTTATTGAAGTCAGTGTGATGCATCTCCCAATGCACGTCCGCTGCTCCACACAGCTGCTCCGGTAGCTCATCATCAGCAATCACCCATGCTGCCACCCCACCAACATCCCACCCATCAGCACTATCACCCCATGCAGCCACCATCCCACATACTCGTACCTTGAGTGCATTGTTAAAGTCAGTCACATGCACGTCCGCTGCTACACACAGCTGCCCCAACAGCCAATCCGCCTGATGCACCATCACCACCTCCCCCTCTCCCTCCCCTCCCCCTCCTCCTCCACCTCTTCCCCCTCTCTCCTCCTCCCCACTCCCCTCCCCCTTTCCCCCCACCACCCCCCCTTGCCTCATCCACCAGGTCATCAGCTTGCACAGCGTGGACGTGGCAGCTGTCGCCGTGTGATTGGCCGGCGCCACTGCTGCCACGGCAGCCACTGCCTCAGGGCTGCCCGCCTCGTTGTACATCATGGGGCGGGCCACGGGCTCACGTGTTGAGCTGGTGGGAAGGCAGGAGAGGAAGGGAGATAGTCAATCAGTCTCTTGAATTACACTGCCTCAGCGCTGCCCACCTCGTTGTTCATCATGGGGCGGGCTAAGGGCTCGCGGGTAGACCTGAGAGAGGAAGAGATGGGGAGGGAGGGCAGCATTGAGTCAAATCTCTTTAGTTGGATCATTGGACTGCCTGCCTGCCTCAGGGCTGCCCGCCTCGTTGTTCATCATGGGGCGGGTGATGGGCTCGCGGGTAGACCTGATAAAGGGAAGAGATGGAAGAGACGAGAGAGAGGGGGGGAAACAGTCGATCGGTCCTTTGATTAGAACTGCCAGCCTGCCGCACCACATTGCACCACATTGCACCACATTGCACCACATTGCACCATGGGCTGCCCGCGCAGTCAAGGGCGTGCGGGTGGTGCTGGTGAATGGAGGAAGAAATGGGAAAGAGGGGGAGGAGGAGTAACAGTCTATCACCCTCTTGAATTGGACTGCATGCCTGCCTGTCTCCGGGCTTCACTGCACCGCACTGCACCCCTGCAAAGGCACTCTCACCAACTGATCACCATGGTGGTGGTGGCGCTCGTGCCGTCCAGCACCATGTCACCTGCACCGCACTGCACCCATGCAACACTGCCCCATGTCACCATGTCACCATGCCATGCCTGCACCGCACTGCACCCCTGCAGATGCTCTCTCACCGGCTGACGACCATGGTGGTGGCAGACGTGCCTTTCATCATGTCACCTGCACCGAACCGCACCGCACTGTACCGCACACCCCTGCAACAGCGGCGCTCTCTCACCGGCTGACGACCATGGTGGTGGCGGACGTGCCGTCCAGCCTGCACCGCTCTGCACCCATGCAACACCGCCCCATATCCCCATGTCACCATGTCACCATGTCACCATGTCACCATGTCACCTGCACCGCACTGCACCCCTGCAGATGCTCTCTCACCGGCTCACGAGCATGGTGGTGGCGGACGTGCCGTCCAGAGACACTGCCGCCACTCGCCGCCTCAACTCCTCGGGAATGTCGCGTAACAGTCCAAACAACGCCGCCCGCCACCCCTCCGCTGCTGACACGTCACCGTCCGGGTCGCTTCTGCTGCCGACTGCTGACTCGGATGCTGACTCAGCATGGGCGGCAGGAGGGTACTTCCTCTTGACGTCAGCAAGAATGGTCGCGTTGCCATCAATAACAACAGCACGCGCCCCTGACGTGCCAAAATCAAATCCCAGGAAAAGCTGGGATGATTCAGTGGCTGACGTGGACGCGCGCACCAGGACGGCGCCGTTAGGTTGCCGGGCACGTGGCATTGCCTTGAAGCTGCCACGTGGCAGCATTTCCCAGGACTGGCCTTCGACAAACGGGTTGATCAGGCGGTTCCTGTGTGGTCGACCTATCCCCGTCCGCCAATTAGGTTGATCCACGTGGCGTTTGGAGGCGCATTGCCCTCCCACGGTCGTGCTGATCGCTGGGGCAGCGAGAACTACGTTGTTGTGACTAAAACGGTGGGTCGCATCCTGGTTCCGAGCGTGACTGTGGAGGGGAGTGCGACAGAGGGTGAGAGTGCGAGTGTGAGTGCAGCGGGATTCAAAGCGCGCGGGGGTCGAGGCAGGCTGGGGACGGCAATGCGCATCCCGCGGCAATGCGCCGCAGATTGGGGAAGCCATAGAATGCAAGTTCAGGACAGAAAAAGCGCTAGCTTACCTCTCGTTTCGTAGTTTGCCTCGCGCTCACTCAAGCTCGTTGCTGAAAGTATAAAAGCGCTAGCTTACCTCTCGTTTCGTAGTTTGCCTCGCGCTCACTCAAGCTCGTTGCTGAAAGTATAAAAGCGCTAGCTTACCTCTCGTTTCGTAGTTTGCCTCGCGCTCACTCAAGCTCGTTGCTGAAAGTATAAAAGCGCTAGCTTACCTCTCGTTTCGTAGTTTGCCTCGCGCTCACTCAAGCTCGTTGCTGAAAGTATAAAAGCGCTAGCTTACCTCTCGTTTCGTAGTTTGCCTCGCGCTCACTCAAGCTCGTTGCTGAAAGTATAAAAGCGCTAGCTTACCTCTCGTTTCGTAGTTTGCCTCGCGCTCACTCAAGCTCGTTGCTGAAAGTATAAAAGCGCTAGCTTACCTCTCGTTTCGTAGTTTGCCTCGCGCTCACTCAAGCTCGTTGCTGAAAGTATAAAAGCGCTAGCTTACCTCTCGTTTCGTAGTTTGCCTCGCGCTCACTCAAGCTCGTTGCTGAAAGTATAAAAGCGCTAGCTTACCTCTCGTTTCGTAGTTTGCCTCGCGCTCACTCAAGCTCGTTGCTGAAAGTATAAAAGCGCTAGCTTACCTCTCGTTTCGTAGTTTGCCTCGCGCTCACTCAAGCTCGTTGCTGAAAGTATAAAAGCGCTAGCTTACCTCTCGTTTCGTAGTTCGTCGAGCTGCTCGCTCAGGTGAAGCAGCTATACTCACTACTCACCGCTAAGGAGCAAAAACAGGGACTTCGTACTCTCGTTTATAGCCATACGCGAGCGTCGCGACTTGCTTACCTCAGTCGAAAACCTCGAAAACCTATTGCGCGACGTGCTGGACGAAATTAGGATCGCGCCATTTCCGTGCAGCTGCTACTTCACGTTGCTGGAAAATTAGGTCGCCGAACCGCTCGCTCGTACCGGCCACGAACATCGAGTTCAGTTGCGTGGGTTGTGTTCAGGACCTTGCAGCACGCCGCCAGCACGATATTTCACCTTCCGCAGCACGACCAGCTGTTCCGCGTCTTCCCTCCCTTTGGCAACTGCACCGCCCCTCCCCACCTCCCAAATTTCCCGCCACCTCGCCGCGTCTGCATCCTCGCTTGCAGCTGCCCCTACAGCATCCGCAACCTCGCTTCACGAGACCTCTCGCGCTACACCACCTAACAGCTACATTTCATTTTCCAGCTTCCTTCTTATGCTTCCTCACTTTCCACATTCACTCCACATGCCACGATCCTACTACCCAACAAAATGACAAGCCGCAAAAGGGGCCGTGGAACCCAAGACTCTGAACCCACTTCTCCTCGTCCGCCTGCCCGTTCGCGACAAACTCCTGCCTTTGCGACTCTTTCAACCTCCCCATCAAACCTTGCACCACCCCCTACTCCTAAGCCTAAACCATCTTCTGCTCATTCCCAGCAACCTTCGACAACACCAGCCCCGAAAATTGTATCGGAAAAACAAAAGGAGATTCTCCAGCACGTCCTGAAGGGCACCCTTCCTGATTCTCCGTCTTCAACACGGCCTGAAACCTCTCACCCTCAGCCCTCGACTTCCCGGGCCCATCCTTCATCCACCTCAACACCTCCTCCGACGACTGCAGCGGATGCTCCTGATCCCACAGCCCCTGCCGACAACACGCACCCACTATCACACTATGAAACTGCTGCTTCACCTTCTCGAGATCTCCCTCCTCCTTCCCCTACCCCTCACTATACGCAGCCATGCCCGCAACCCTGCCCGCCCTCATCAACCTCCGATAACCCACTACCTCCTAATTCTTGCCCCACATGTCGACGCACCTTTGCCAACCCAGGTTCGCTGGCCCGTCACCTTCCAGCCTGCTCTCGCAACACCGCCACACGTCAGCAAGCTGCTCGGCCTCCTCCTCCCCGCTCATCAACCCCAACCTCGGCGCCTGCAGCCGCAGATCGACCTGCAATTCCTCAAGCCACTTGGGAGGCCATTCCTTCCTGGGATTGGCCTTCCTTCTTCAGCCCAGCAGTCTCACCTGGCCCTATTCTCCGCCGAATCCCCTCCCGCATCCGACTCCTCATTCTCGATGCACTTCTCATTCCACTGCGCCGCCTTGCACAGCAGCCTTCTGACGTCGCTGCACACCTCATTCTCTTGGCATTTCCGCGTCTCTTGCTGCGCCTACCATCCGCCGCTGCTCCCACGCAGTCCCTTACCTCTTCATGTGCCTCCTTAGCGCGCCGCTTCATCAATGGTGACTGGCAGTCTCTTTTCAGTGAGGCTGTAGCTGCAGCCACTCCAGCCGCCAGACCTCTGCACATGGCATCGGCACGTTCTACGGCGCTGCAGGCTCGTCTCAACCGTGCGAAGCGGTTTGCGAAATGCGGGGACTGGTCGCGGTCACTGGCAGCAGTGGAAGCTGGCGAGCTAGCTCCTCCATCATCAGAAACGGTTGCTGCCCTCGGCTCCAAGCACCCACCTGCTGCAGCAGAAATTCCTGACTGGGTACACAGCTTCACTCCTGCAGCCGCACCACAGCTTACCGTCCCTGTTCTCCATGCCGCTCTACAGTCCGCCCCTCGTGGCACAGCTGCTGGTCCTTCTGGGTGGTTCATTGAGCACCTCAGGGACACGTTTCTTTCTCACCAGCAGCATCTCCCTTCTCTCCTCCACGTATTCCAGAACTGGCTGCAGGGTGACCTTCCACCTGCAGTCAGGCCTTTCTACACCGCTTCGAACCTCGTGGCCCTGCACAATCCGCATGGTGGTGTACGTCCCATCGCCATTGGGGAAGTGCTACCACGCCTCCTTTCACGCTGCATCACTCTCCTTTTTAAGCAGCAGATGCGAGAGACATTCCTTCCTCACCTTCAATTTGGCGTAGCAGTTCCGGCCGGGATCGAGATTATGTCGCACGCAGTGTGCTCCGCCTTCTCCCTTCATCCAGACTGGGTGGTGCTTCAGCTGGACGTTGCAAACGCGTTCAACTCGTTCAACCGGGTTTCCATGTTTGAGGCATTAAGGCGCTCCCCATTCTCCAGTCTCATTCCCTTCTTCCGCCTATTCTACTCCACCCCTTCACCTCTCCACTACCGCAGCGGCCCCCTTCTCCACACATTCCAGTCAGCTTCTGGTGTTCGTCAAGGCGACCCTTGTGGCCCTTTCCTTTATGCCCTAACACAGCAGCTAGCCATCCAACCAACCCAGCAGCAGTCTCCCTCAATTTTCATTACCTCATACGCAGACGATACCTACTTGGTCGGCCCTCCCTCAGACGTCTTTTCCGCATCCACTGACCTTACCTCCCGCCTTCTCTCTCTCGGCCTTACAGTCCAACCCTCTAAGTGCTCTTTATGGGCCCCTATGGACCTGCCTGAACACTGCATTCCGCCCCCGGGTATTTCCATCGCTGCAAACGGTCTCACTGTCGCCGGCGTTCCTACTGGCTCCGACGGTTACATCATCTCTACAGTTCGTGACAAACTCGATTCTTTCACTTCCTCCCTCCCCTTACTGCATCAACTGCAGGACCCACAGATTGCCTCACGGATCCTTTCCTTATGCATCACTGCCCGACCTTCTTTCCTCCTCCGAACTGTCGCACCTTTTCCCGAAATCCAAGAGCTTCTCTCTTCATGGGACAGCACCATTTTCAGCCACTTCTCTCAGCTCCTGGGCTCTGAGTACTGGAATCCCACCTCTGAACAGTCCACATCGGCCCGCCTCCAAGCCTCGCTCCCTATCCGCTTAGGTGGCTTCGGCATTCGCAGCTCTGCATCCATCGCCCCCCTCAGTTACCTCTGTAGCTGGGCGCAGACAGTTTCGACCTTATCCACCCACTTCATCACTGATGGTGCTCCTCTTTTCCGCCCCTACGTCACCACGGACTCCATTAACCTCCTCGACCCTTCAATCTCATCCACCATGACTATGCTTCCCCAAGACATTCGTGATCGCTTCCCATCATGGCCTGTGCTTCAATCGGGCTACCCTCCTAAACTCTTTACTCATCTCTCCCAACACCTCGAAGCCGATTTGCTGGAGAAGGTTCGAGCCACAGTAACGTCCCCGCTTCGCCTTGCTCGTCTAACCTCTTTGCAGGGCCCGCATGCAGGTGACTGGCTCACTGTGGCTCCATCCTCCCCGCACATGCAGCTTTCAGAGACTGAATGGCGCATTGCAGCAGCTATCCGCTTAGGCCTTCCTCTCCCTCACCTTTCATCTTCGCTCACCTGCACCTGCAACTCCCCGTTCACCGATCCTTCCATCCATTCTCATGTCCTTCGCTGCCCTAGCAACAACGAGCCTACTAAGGTGCACGACGCAATCAAACGAGAAGTTCATCGCATTGCCTTGGAGCTTGGGTTCTCTGCGCAGATGGAAGACCAGCATCTCCTGCCTGGCCGCCGCACAGACATCACGTGCCGCGACATTAGCTCTGGTACCACCTGAGCCTTGGATGTTTCTGTTGCTGATCCACAAAAGGGGTTTCCGCACTCCAACGCAGCTACGGTGATTGGTTCAGCAGCAGCCACTCGTGAAAGTGAGAAGACCACCCACTATGCTACAGCACTTCATGACCGTCCAGACATCAAACTGTTTCCCCTTGTCATC